AAGACTTAAATTTTTCGGTCGAACAAGCTTTGTGCCATGGTTGGCCCATCGGTTGGCAAAACTGTGGGAAAAGTAGTTTAAAAACAAATAATTTTCGGTTGGCCAAACCAGTAGTAGAAAAATAAATTTTCACAAAGTTGTTTTTATTGGCAGGGGCGGGGATTTGACTCGGATAAGACCGGGACGTTTTAATAAGGTGAATGGATGCATCAGCTTGACGTTGAGTCAAGATAATGTTTATACCTATATACAGACAGACAGAGAGAGAGGTGGATAGAGAAGAAAAGCGAGTTCGTCAAGCAGAAAGGACGAACTTATTGGAGTAAAGCCTTTTGTTTTCAACAAATCGAAGTTGCTATACTTCCTGAAAGACTGTTCTTCCATGACGGCTCTTTTCTCTTAGTTCCCTCCTATTCTATTCTCACGTTCACTTCCCCTTTGGCACGCGCCTTTAACTCTTTCAATGAAAGAAACTGTCTGTTTTCACGTTCTACCATTTCGCTCTTAAAAGGTTCATTTTAAATTGTTTTCTCTCCGACCGGCAAATCCTAGGAGTGTATTTTTAATTTTACTTTACACTTGAGTATTACTGTTTTCTGAAAAATAAAAAAATCTTCGGAAATAGTCTCTATCAAAGAGAAGTTTTATTTTTTACCACCCTGACCACATTTGGGGAGAAATATTTTTTGAAAAAACTGTTATGTCTCAGAAGAAAACCAACATATCCTAGAATTATTTATTAACGTCCAGGATCGGTGATTTAAACCTGATTTATTTACAGGAAGGTGGAATGATCTAAAGGGGCAGATTTTAAGAAAGAGGAACTTAAAATTGAATGTCTTAAAGTTTATATTTGAATCCTTTACAATTAGAATCAGAGAGAAGGAATAGATCCAGATGTCTTCAGGAACACTGAAGCAAAATTCGAACTTTGTGGAATCAATCAAAAATTGAAATGGGGACCAAAGGTATTAGTTAATTCCCTTTGAAAATTATTCTTAGAGTCGTAGACCCAACAAGCTTCAGTGTGAGGTCGAGTAAATGATTTTTTCTATCGGAAACAGAGAATGCAGTAGATTTCCCTCAAATTGTTTTCGGCCCAGCCAAAGTGAAAGGTTCGGGGTCCAGGTGTCGATGTAAAATAGATAAAACACCCCTCGGTCTAGGAGTGACCGAATTATTGATTTGACGTTGATGTCGAGGTAATGCAGTCCTTAGAAAAATAGAAATGTACCTCGCAGTAGAAATTATCTCCTTGAATGAATTTGACTAGGACGAGACTCGAAGAATGCACTTGGTACTTGAAAAGATTTTCTGGACTGGAGTCGAAGGAGAAACTCGATGACAGTACACAACTAGATGACTTGATGGCAGTTGATGGACTGACACGAAAAACACAGGTAGCTAATTAGCTGACGACTTCTGGACTAAGTTCCCTTGATGGCATTTCCTAAACTGTCGAATTTGGCAAGGGTTGTCACCTTTTATAATACAGTTCCTTACAATAATAAAACAAAATGTTAATTCATTTGAATTACTTTCTGGGTCAGTTTTTCTTCTATTGACTTAATTTGAGCGCATGTGCTTGGTCAATTTTCAAGAAATCCTGACTATTAAGGATGAAAATTTGATTAGAACTTACAGTAGCAGAAATAATAGATCGTCTAGTTTGGCATGGTTAACAAATCGGCATTATGTGGGAACTAATGAGCGAAACGGAATCTCTCTCTCGTACCTTCACAACAACGCCACTGTCCTGGGAAATCGCGCGGAGATTTATTGCCCGACCGACTGGAAGCTTTGCGATTACCAAATCGGTTATAGAGAGGTATATTCAAAAATTTATTCGCTCGACCAAACACGGACGACGGAAATCGATCGAAAACTAGTACCAAGGATATACCCACTCGAGAATTCATGGCTCACTTCCTGATAAGGTTGTAACAAACACAAAATCTATTCACTTTCTCCCCTTTTCTCTATTATCGTTATCGAACATTCTCAAAATTGAAAATAATTATTCTTCCTGAGGCCAAAAAGGCGTATTTTGTACCCACTGTGCGCCTGGCGGTAGGCAACCCTATTTACACGTTCGCAATACGTACAAACGCCACCCAATCATTTAAAGAAAATATATTATTTACTTTTTAGTAATAATAATCACTAAAAAAAAGAAAAGTAAAATTTAATTTTAAAAATTAGGAATTGTAATTTCTAGACCGTGGAAGAAATTCATGGTTATTATTCGGAAATCAATTTTCATTTATCGAGAATGTGCGAACTAACAATCTATAGGCGGAAGAACTGATAACAGAGGAAGATTTAATAGATTCACAAGCATCAGTTAACATAATAAAAGGAAATGTAATATCCTGCAAACAATTACAATGGCGTTTGAATTAAAAAAAGAATTATTGTTTTTTGATTTAAGGATACATATCAGATTATAAACTTTAACCTTATAATCCATGGATTAATGATAAAAAAAAGCCAAAAGTATTAAAAAATTTATCGTAACTAATAAATAAATTAATAACTAACGTACATTCGCAAAAATAATTGTTAATAAATTTTAAATTAAGTAAATAAATTTTAAATAAACTAAATTAATGTTTAAACTAAATAAATCAGTTCGAAGTAAAATTAACTTCTCCAGAGTGGAAATCAAATTTCCCTCGTTGCTAAAAAAAATCAACGTGAAAATAAATACGTCAAAAAATAAAATAAATGACAATTCAATAAAATAAAACGAACACGAAAAATCAAATATATTTTAAACGATATAGAAAAAAGAGAAACGATTTATTTATGAAAAAAAAAAATTCTTGTAAATATTGTTATATTTGTCGAACTGATAAACAAATTTTCACAAAATAAATCTGAACAGCGTTATCAGCAAATGTTTTTTTTTCTTTTTTTAAAAAAAACAACATCCAAAAAAGACCGTGAAATTCATGGGTAAAAAACTAATGTCTCGTTTTATTTTACTACTATGCAGAAAAAAAAACGGAGAATCGTTTGTTTTCAGTTTGGCAAGGGATTTTAAACAGAGTGATAAAATGGAGGATAAATGTGCGATATCGGTGACATAGGGGGTAACTTTATGTGACAAACGTCTGTCAAATGTCACGTGACACGTGATATTATTGTTGGCCGCAAACGTTTTTAGTTTATATATTCGATAGTGTTGAATAAGATTTATAGCCATAAACAATGGATGCAAATTTTTAACTTTTAAAATTTAATTCACAAAACATGTTACTAAACTGTAAAAGAAATAATACTTTTGTTTCTGGAGAACAAAACAGTGATTTTTGTTCTGCAAAGTGCAGTAAAAAAAAGAAAAAATATTTTACAGATAATAAATTAATATTATAATAAATATTTCTATTAAATATTTTCTGAACAAATATGTATTTTATGCTACAGATTCCTGTTACCGCAATGTACCGACTTCTTTTTAAATTACCAACATTTATCAGCAGTGCTAAGTACAGTAATCGATGAAAATAAACAAGTCGGTAAATGTCGGTAACAGGAATCTGCTTTTTAGTTTATCAAATCAATTGTATTTTAAATTATTACAACGGCAATTACAGATTTCTGTAATCGACATTTACCGACAATAGTCTGTTTGAAAATCGATAACAGAAATTATAAAACATTACATTACAGATTCATGTTACCGACTTCTTTTTACGTTATCGATATTTTTTGGCAGTACCAAGAATAGCACGTATCTTAAAATCGACAAAGTCGGTAAATATCGGTAACAGGAATCTGCTTCATTAGTTAATAAATTCAATTGTATTTCAAACGATTAGTGTACTTGCAATTACAGATCTCTGTAACCGACACCTACCGACAATGATATTGACGGTAAAATGACAGTTAAATAAAATTAAAACTTTTAAAATAAAAGATTTTTTAATATAATCTTTTTTTAAAAGTAAAGTTAAAATTTTTTTAATATTCTATTGTAAATTTAAATTTCAAGAAAATGTACCCTAATTATACAATTTTCAAGTATCACAAATGAGGAAAGTGAAAAATTTTATTCTCAAATATTTCAAAAACGTTATTTTTAAAAAAATATTCAAAAATGCTTTCATAAATAAATTTCTTTACAATATTAAAATTATATTCAAGTAAAAAGAATTCAAAGAACGAGAAACCAATTTTATGTACCCACATTTCCATTCACAGAGTGAAAAGAGGGAAAAATATAAATTTTTATATTTCCAAGATACGCAAATTTCATGAAAAAAAAGAAAAAAAATAAGCAATCCTTTTTGTTTTTTTTAGAAAATATGTAAAAGACTTTAAAACACGTTTCAGTTATGGTTTTATAAAAATAATATATAAAAAAGGGGGAAAAAATAGTGGGGAGGGAATAAAACCAAACGTACGACTTGATTGAAAATGCTTTCTATGTCAGTCAATTCGTTTGAATTTTATTGGCCCTCAAGAGAAACTTCATTGAATTTTTCATTGGAGGCATGTAGCTGGCATTTAGATGGCACTGATTTAGTTTGAGTTTCTGGACTGGAATAACTAAAAAAATAAAAAAAAATGTTCACGAATAAAAAGCAGAAATTAAATGTTGAAGGGCCAACGGAAACCTCTCATGAAATGGACATTCTGATGGTTTACTTTTTAATTTGGTTGATTTTATAAAAATTTTTCTCGTTTTCATCGCAAATTTTCAAGCACTATAGCAGTGCTTGTTTAGATATGTATATATGTGTAAAAAAAATTGCATCTACTTATTTAAAAAACATTTTTTCCCCAAACAAAATTTTTACAAGTATATTTTAATTAAAATATGTCTGTAACTATTTTAATATAAAAAAAATTAGACAACTTTTAACGATATAGAAATTAAGAGTATACTTAAAGAGACATTTTATTTTTCAAACCTAAATTAATTGTCAAAAAAGATTTAAATAAAATTCCATTAGTCGAAATAATATTTATAATAAATAAATTTTCTTTTGCAGACACTGATTGCGGGGCAAGGACTCAATGATGATATGTGGCATACACTAAGATTTTCAAGGAGAGCAAATTCAATGAAGCTTCAGATTGACGACGAAGGGGCCGTTAGAGGTATTTTTATCATAAATAATTTTTTTACCCTATACAAAAAAAATCCTCTTTTACAAGAAAAACAGAGAGAAAGAACAATTTAATACGGTCGCAACTAAAAATTATTCCAGTTAACTGAATTTGTTTTTGAAGATAATTAAAAATGCAGATTCCTGTTACCGGCATTTACCGACTTTGTTAATTATCGATAGTTATCGGCAGTTTTCAATGTAGTTTACTTGATTTTAATATTATTTCGATTAATACATTCCTACTGTTGGCATTTATCGATTTTTAAAAAATTATCGACATTTATCGACTCTTTCTATTTTTATAAAACATTATTCTATTATTTTTTGACAATTGAATATTAGATTTCTTAACCGAGATTTACCACCCGTTCCCCTACAAATGAAAATTTAAATACATGAAGTTCAAAGGACATTAAACGCAACTTATTTATGCAGAGTTCTGTTACCGACATTTATCGACATTCCCTGTTTTTATTGATTATTATCTTATTTTTAGTAATTAAATACTACAGATTTCTATTATCGACATTTACCGTCCCTTTACACACAAAAGAAATTTTTAATACAAAAAGTCCTGAAAAATAAAAAAGATTTTTGTTATCGACATTTATCAGTAGCACTTAGTACGTAATCGAAAAAATCGGAAAAGTCGGTTAACCCAGTAATATGAATATTCTTATTCAGTTATTAAAGTAAATGAAATTTCGAATTATTAGTCGAACTGAAATTACAGATTTCTGTAATCGGCTTTTACCGACAATTCTATTTGAAAAACGACGTCGGTAATCGTTGATAAACGGAATCTGTAATTTAGGATTTCTTTTAAAAGTGCCAAAATGTTTGGCTAAAAGTATAAATGAAATTACAGATTTTTCTAATCGGCTTTTACCAACAATAGTCTAATAAGTTTCAAGAGAAAAAAAAATTTACCCTTTTCAAATTTAAGAAGATTATCTTAATTCCATAAAAAAAATGTGTGGTCCCTATGTTAACTTGTGGACGACATTTTTTTCACCCCATACGAATAAAATTGCCTTTTACAAAAAAAAATTACAGAGGGAAAGAACAATTTAATACTGTTGCAACTAAAAATTATTCCGGTCAACTGAATTTTTTCAGAGTAGTAGTAGGATGAAAAAAAAATTTATTTTCTTTTTTCCTTTTTACAATTCTAATGTTAATCAAGGGAAATTTCAACATTGGGGCGAATGCCACGTTGTAAAATCCAATTTGAATTTAGTGAAAGGGTATGTAGTAACTATGTGTTGACTGTCTGTCGAGAAACGTAGGAATGGCAAATATACAATCTGCAAACCGATTCGAATTTGCGGAGAAGGGAAAACACCCGCGAATAACATCGTTTCAATAATATCGATCGATCGAAGCCAATCAACTGTTTTACATCTGAACACGACGACGACGTACAATTTTCCCTACTTTGCGCCTGCTTATCTGTTTCCCAACAACCACCCTTTTAACCCCCCCCCTCCCACATATTCCCAATACCACACTTTATAAATTGCTTCGCATAAACTTTAACCACAAAACGATCAGCATTTCATTTATGTAATATTGCTTACTTCGAAATATAATAATTACAGCGTTTGCTAAAATTTTCCATCTCGGTTTATATATGACAATGGAATTATACGAAATTGATGTGGAAAATTGAATGCAGCATGAAATATAGAAGAGAACAGACTATTTTCATTTATCATAAGTTATAGAATTCTGTATTTACCGAGTAGATTTCATTATCGACACTTGATGTCAATTTTAAGTATATTGTACTTATTTTTAAGGTGATGTTAAAACCAATGTGATTTTTCTATTGAATCTCTATGTAAAAATCGTATCAATTTTGACGTTTTAAAATATTTTTATTTACAGTTTCCTCTTACCGACATTTACCGACGTTTTATTTATTGACACTTATCAACAGTGCTATGTTTAATACATAAATGATTAAATTAAACAGACATTAGGTATCGTTTACAGGAAACAGCTCCTTTACATCTAAAAACCAATTGTTTTTTAAATTAGTGGTATAATTGCGAATATAAATGCAAAAAAAACTAAAAATAATTAGTTCTTTTAAATATTTAAAACTACAGATTCCTGTTATCGATATTTACCAACTTTGTTAATTATTGACATAATAAGCAAATATAAGTTTAGTTCAAAATTTAAATATTTTGATCTACAAATTCTTGTTACCGACATCTACAAACTTTTATAATTATCGGCAATTATCGACAACATATTTTTTAGACACTTATAAAACGAACCTTTAACGTTCAAATTACTAACAAGTGGAACTACAACCTTTAAAAACAATTTCAAATTGTAGAATTCTGTTACCGACATTTATCGACTCTTTAAATGGTTTTTATTACTTTTATTATTCTATTATTTTTTGACAAATAAATATTACAGATTTCTGTTGTAAACATTACCGCCCATTAACCTAAAAAAAAATTTTAATACACAAAGTCCTGAGGTTATGAAATGCAACTTATTTATTGCAGAGTTTTGTTACCGACATTTATCGACATTTCCTGGTTTGAATAATTATTATCTTATTAATTTTCAGTAATTCACCTACAAAAGGAACTTTAAATACAAAGTCTTAAGGACTTAAAGGCAAAATTATTTATAGCAGAGTTCTGTTACCGACATTTACCGACTAATTACATATAATAAAAATCTTTAACGTTCAAGGTACAAACTAATGTAAATACAACATTTAAAAATAATTTCAAATTGTAGATTTCTGTTACCGACATTTACCGCTTATTTACCTACAAAAGAAATAATTCCTATACAAAGTCCTAAGAACTTGAAATGCAAACTTATTTAATGCAGATTCCTCCTACCGACATCTACTGACTTTTATAATATCGACACTTAGCGATAGACCGAAATATATTATGTTAAAATTTTTCATTTACAGATTCCTGTTACCGACGTTTACCGACTATCCTAATTACCTATAAAAATATTTAAAATTACAGAATTCTGTTACCCGAAGTCAAATGTCGCAGTCAAATGCTAACGAAAGAGTAATTTGTTGTTGAAGACATTTAAACTACCGATTCCTATTACCGACATTTATCGATTTTTTTATTATCAAGATTTATCGACACTTTTGAGTCGATCATAAAAACAGTAATTTTCTTTTAAAAATATTAAACATCTCCTTCTTTAGTTCTTTAAGATTTTGAATCATTGATGTACTTAGGATAAAAACTCTTATAAAGAAGTAATGTATTTTTGAAGATATTAAAAAATTACAGATTCCTGTTACCGGCATTTACCGACTTTGTTAATTATTGATATTTTTCGGCAGTTTTAAGTATATTATATTGTATTTTTAAACTATTTTAGTTTATAGATTTCTGTTATCGACATTTATCGACAACACTTAGTATGTAACCAAAACAATCGGAGAAGTCGGTAAATATCTGTGACATAAATCTGCTTCTTTAGTTAATAAAGTAAGTGGTATTTCAAATTATTCATATAATTGATATTACAGATTTCTGTAATCGTCTTTTACCGACAATAATTGTAAAAATATGTCGATAATCGTTAATAAACGGAATCTGTAATTTTTGACAATAGTCTGATTGTAAAACGATATTGATAATCGTTGATAAGCGGAATCTGCAATTTGGGATTGTTTTTTAAAAAATATAACTGTCAATATTTTGTGTACTTTTTTAATTAAAAATTCAAAACCTTTATTGTTATCGACACCTTCTAGATTTTAATGTTTGATAAGTAGGGGTTAAGACCATTAATATTAGGCAGTTGGTAAGTGTCGGTAACAAAAATCTGTAATACGACATAGATTTTTATCGCACCATTTCCTTCTGTCTAAATGAATAAATATTAAATTTATTTTTAATTAAAAATTTAGAATTTAAAAGGAAAAAAGTGTATTAGTACAAAGGGAATAAAATGAAAATATATCTCTTCAGGAAAAATACTAAAGTCATGAATTTTACCCCTTAAAGTTCCGTACATACTTTAGACATAATTTATTACCCTAATAGGATATAATTACCGAAAGCAAAAATAAATCACCTAGAGTGATATTAACAAGCACAGCTATATCTATAATTCTCGATGACTCACCGAGTAACTAAATAGGCTTTTCGCTAAAACTTCTTTTCCAACTCTCAAAGAATTATGTAGAAACTTCAAAGCTATTTCATTTATACTTTTATTTTTTTCACCACACCAACTAAGGAAATTTTTCATTTTTAAGTCTTACTTATGTCCACCCCGAAATATAATTTCCCAACATTTACTGTAAGGGGATTTATTATTTAGTTCCCATTTTCTTTTTCTCCTTTAATAATGCGATCTCTCTCTCTCTCTGCCTCTCTTTTCACAAGCGGAAAAAAGTTTTCGTATAACTTTGCATATAATTATATGTCTCAACTTGAAACAATTGAATAAAATTTATCTACATAATTAAAAAAAATTGAATGATTTTTATTTCAAGAGATATAATATCGTAGAATTTGGAAAATTGTTTCTAAATATAAATTACCAGCTACGATAATTAAATTTAATAATTAATAATATTTCCTTTAATTAAATTTCTGTTAATTGTATGTATAAGGAATAATGTATCTAATTAAATTTATAATTATTTATTAAGTAATAAATTTATTTTCAATAGTGCGTGAAAATCATTGTATTTATTAATCTCATTAGTAAAATTAAATCAAAATTATATTCGTGAAACTATTATATCGTTGACAATGTTCACTTTATTTTCGTATATTTATAAAAATTTATAAATTCCATTTGATAAATAAATAACAATTTTTTTATCCCCCCCCCCAAAAAAATAGAAGAAAACTTTAAAATTTATTAACATGAGTTAGATAATAATTTACTGCGGGGTAAGATGCAAACAAGTACCGTTCCATTTTACCCGAGCAATGCCGTATTTCAAAATCTCTGTTTAGCATA